TGAACCCACTGCTTGATGGAAGCACGGGAGAGGGTGGTTGGCTCCTAGCTGTTGGGGCGTGAGTGGTTGTCCTCACATTGGCCAAATCATGCACAGCATTGTTTGCATTTTCAGCCATATCCTATAGTGCAGAAATTAATATGTTAGTCCAACCAATATTAAGACGGGCAAATTTTAAAGTGACTTCTTTGGAATGGAGCAAGTATAAATGATGTGAGACACATGAAAGAATAATACAAAAGATAACTAAATAGTATTAAAGCACATGACATAAGAGAGGAATACAGGATACCCTGCACAATAACAAGATGTAGATTGATGCCCTAACCAATAAATAAGTCACACAATTGGATATAACCAACACATGGTAATGTAGCAACAAACACAGAGTGCGCAATAAGTTACAATAACCACAACCATAATAAACTAAGATAAACTACAGGTATCATATAAAATCACACCGCAGACTCAGTCGTGTCACCATGTCGGTATTTATTACAATAGTCAATCCACATGTCCAACGCGATTTGATCTCTGCGAGATCTCCATTCATCCTTTGAGGCTCCTTGTTGTCTAACACTTTGTGACTGCAAGAAATCAATAACGTTGTCATCTTCATTAATGCCTGATTCAGTATCATCCTCACAAATGTCGATATCCTCATTCAACAAGTCATCGTCTGGGTCCACTGTTGCAATGTAGTTATGGAGAACCGTGCATGCCAAGACAATATCAACTTGGGTCTTGAAGGGGTAGTGGGGTTTTGATGTGAGAATCTTGAAACGATTCTTCAATATACCAAATGTAGCTTCAATCCTTGACCTCAAAGAGGAATGTCTAAGATTGAATAACTCCATCCTATTTTGAGGTGTTCTCCCTGAAAATTCCTTTAGATGATAACGGACGGCACGATACGGGGATATAAATCCCGGCTGGGTTGTGTACCCCGCATCACAAAGGTAGTATTTACCTACATAATGCAAAGTATTGTAATGAGATATGACTTAGTAAGTATTAGTGCGAAATACTAGTCTATTGAGCATTTATTCCCTGAGTTTTTGCGATTGTTACCCGTGTACACCCGTAAGCCATAAGGTTGTGGTCTAGATAAGGCATCTTGAAGGATTCTCTACTAGTCTATTGAGCATTTATTCCCTGAGTTTTTGCGATTGTTACCCGTGTACACCCGTAAGCCATAAGGTTGTGGTCTAGATAAGGCATCTTGAAGGATTCTATAATCGTTAGCCGATCCCTCCCACCCAGCTAGAACGTAGGTAAACATTTTGTTTGGTGTGCAAGCCGCAAGAATATTTTGTGTGACACCTTTGCGCCCTCTGAAACGCACAACAAGTGAGGCAGGTAGCATGGCATCCACATGTGTACCATCTATCATACCTATGCAATCCTATAGAATTCAACTTGCTATGTTAATGTAATGATTGAGCAGTTAAGAGATTCATTTGCGCTAGTAGGTAGAGTGGTTGTTATACCTTGAAAAAAGGATAGAAAGATGGATTGTTTTGGATCTCGTGAGGCACCTCATTTGGTGCTTGTTTCATAAATCGCCCTTGTATGCACGAAATTGCTTGCAATACTCTGTTGAAGTATCGACTAACGGTCTCCCCCGACCGTATAAATTGCGTTTTCATCATACGATTTTTTGATTTATGACCCAAAATATTCAACGTTATAGCAAGCTGCTCCTCTACAGTTATAAATCTTGAGTCCTTCAGGAGATAATTTGTCCTCATAGTATGGGCTAGTCTAAGAAAAGCACCCGTCCGCATTCTAACAAAGTTTTGACAACTATCACTATAACCGTGATAGATGCGGCGCATTAATTCTGCCCTAGTTTTCTCCTGCCTTAGTCTTTCTGCACTCCGTCCAGATCGTAACGTTCTGCGGCGAGCCCTCATTCTCCTCAAAAAAGTAACCACCAGAACCATGACCGATAATGCAGCCCCAGTACACATTCTTATAACGCTCTCTTCATCAACATAATCACCATCCATCTAGACAGTATTGCTTAGAAATTAGAAATATACATAAAAACAAAAAAAATTCCTACGTAAAAAAAACAAAAAAAATTCCTACGTAAACAGCTACAAGTTATGCTTCTAGTAGTGCTATTATCTTCAAAATACTCATTCTACCACTGCTTTAATATTAGCTCGCTTAACAAACCTAATCTATGCGCGCACGTTAGTTACTAGGGTATACGAGCAAAAGCAAACAAGAATTAGCCCTTCATTATGATGCCCACTTCTTCCGAATATGCAACAACATGATTAAATATAGCTAAAATACATATTAAATGTGATTAAATATGGCTAAATTTGATACAACAACAAGATCTACTACAAAATTAAACCCGGAAATTGGGGAAAGTGGTGATTTCATATCGGAAAACCCAACGCAAATTAAACCCTCACTTTTCAGAAAATGAAGATCTCCTCTCGAAGACGCAAACCCTCAGTTTGTGGCTCCAAGAAAACGATAAATAGCTTGCTCAACAAAGCTAATCTACATGCTATAACAATTTCTCCACAGAAATCACCAATAACCGAGCCTGAATATTTCACAAGCTTTAAAAATAGATGAGAGGAAAAATATCTGCAACGAAATTAAACCCTCAGTTTTCAGAAAATGTAGATCTCCTCTCGAAGAAGCAAACCCCTAAATTACAAGTTAATTTAAATTTTGGAAAAAATATTGCCAGTTTAAATACGGAGAAACACTGCCCGTGTTGGCCTCAAATGGTGAGATCAAGCTACTAACTGCTACATAAACCAGTTTTCATCTTCACAATCAAAGACGAAATCAAAAGTCACATGCATGCACCAAAAAAATCGAATGCTGCTTTGGCTACAAAGGAAAACGACCAGTGGAAAATAAAGCAAACCTCGAGATGTTTTGACGGCCGGCGAGACCCCAAAAACAGGCAACAAATCACGGTTCAGCCCTAGTGAATCCTCCCAGCCAAAAGGAAAGCAACAAAGAGCGACTACTTCCGAACACCGCCCATCTTCAGAGGCGGAGTTTTCTTGGAGATCAACAAAGAAAATGGACCTCTGCAATGGCGAAACAGCGTAGAGGAAGAAGGAGAGCAGTCAAAGGCGGTGAGGGTAACGAAGAGACAAGAGGAAAGTGGAAACCCTCTTTTACTCGCCGCTTCGTTCTTCGTGCAGAACTATTTTTTAATTGACGGATGGGATATTTCCACCCGTTTTCAGCCCAAAATGGGCTGAAAACACATTTCCGATTATTCTGACGTGTACCCCCATTTTACCATTTCATTTCTTAAAAACCAAAGGCGATCCAAACAGATGAAATGGAAATCTTTTGAAATCAAAATCCGATGTGGCACATGTGTCAGGTTTCATTTCCCAGTTTTCAGCGGTTTTTTGGGCCAAACAAACAGCCCCTTAGATTAAACATCAAATCTTCCTTCAAGCACTGCTAAAAAAATAAGGTATCCTAGACGGAAAATTCCGTCTAGGATACTCAAAATTCCATCTAGAATGAGTATTCTAGACGGAATTCCGTCTAGAATACCCGTCTAGAAAGTTTCCGTCTAGGATACATTATTCTAGACGGAAATTCCGTCTAGAATACATTCTAGACGGAATATTCTAGACGGAATTCAAAACCGTCTAGAATACATCCTAGACGGAAAAGATTTCCGTCTAGAATGATTATTCTAGACGGAAATTATTTTTTATTTTTTTTAATTTTAAAAAGGTATCCTAGACAGAATTTGAGCATCCTAAACGGAATTTCCGTCTAGGATACTTGCCCACGTTCTTGTGGTTTTAATGATCAAAGGAGGAGAGAGAGAGAGAGTAGCAGAAACAACAAACGCACTTCCCTCCTGGAGCGCCCAATGCCCTACTAATACCCTACTAATAATAGAATATTAAAAATAAAAATGAAAAAAAAAAGTGCAAGAAGGGAGAAATGCATTCTGCAGAGGGACAGACTGATGAGAGAGAGAGAGAGAGAGAGGGGCAATAAAAAAGAAAAAAAAAAACTATCCCCCTTTTCCTGTCCTGTCCCCAACACCAATTTCCTTTTTATTTTTACTACCCTTTTACCCCCTCCCCCATTCTTCTTGGTGTGATCTGCCGAATCAGGACCGAATTAATGCTGCCTTTCTTCTATTATTATACCCCCTTTGTGTGTTTGTGCGGGTGTGACTTTCACAACAGTTGATAGCAGAGCAGCTTCCACTTCTTCATCTTCATCTTCTTGACGACGACGACGACGACGACGAGAAGAAGAAGAAGGCCCATTTGAGAGATGATGTTCTTTTTCTAGTCCGGTCCAGAAAATAAAATAAATATAGAAGACCCATTTCCAGCAGCTGCATTCTCCTCTCCTCTCCTCTCTACCGTATGTACGAACGTACATTGGTAATTGTTTCCTTCCCCAGCAATCAATGAGCTGAGCCCCCTTTTTTCCTTCCCCCCCTTATCCCAACGGCCTGTCGGCATCGTGTATGATCCTCATAAGCCTTGTCGAGAGAGAGAGAGGCCGAGAGAGAGAGAGAGATGGGGTGCGTGAACTCGAAGGTGGACAAGGAGGAAACAGTGAGGAGAAGCAGAGAGAGGAAGAGGCTTGATGAAGCAGTCATCTGCTGCCGTTCTGCCTTCGCTAGCTGCTCACTGGCTACCTGCCGCTCTCTCAAGAACGCGGGCGCAACCCTTCCGTCAATTCACCGATGCTTGAGGTCTTGCTCCTTACAGCAAGCAGCAGCAGCAGCATCGTCATCCCGGAGGAGGAGGAGGAGGAGGAGAAGGAGGGGGGCTCAATTTGGCCCTCCGAACTGCCTCCTCCTCCTCCTCCTTTACCACCTCCGCTCTCTCCCTCCCCAATTCGGCCCCCAGGCTCGAGAAAACCCGAGGGCGAAACCGCGAACAGCAAAAGCAAGGAAAGGACGGGTGCGCCGATTAAGAAGGAAGAAAAAGCTCCCTGTTTTGAACGATACAAGTGGCTGGTGGTGATGATGATAGATTACGACGACGAGACCCTGCCCTCGCCGCCCGCCGCCTCCTCCTCCTCCTCCTCCCATCCAGGGCTCTGCTTGCTGGGAGTCTTGGGATCCATTCGGCCCTCCCTCTTCTTCTATTTCCTCCTCTTCCAAGGAGGAAGACGAGGAGGATTGGGCTGAGGCTAATACTGAGTTTCGACGAGAGGCTGAGGAGGAGCAGCAGGGTGCGCCTTTTCTTGCGGATAGTCTGGCGTTGGGTTTGGTGGAGGAGGAGGATGGTGTGGGTCCGGGCAACGAGATCTCGCGGTGGACGATGATCGTCGCGCGCGTGTTCTGACGAAAGAGACCGACATGCTGGTGGTGTGGAGGACCAGAAAGTCGTTGGCTGCCATCGTGAAGGAGATTGACGATTACTTCTTGAAGGCAGCAGCTGCAGGAAACGAGGTGCTTTCTTTCTTGGATTCTCACAACACCCATCGCCTCCACTGGGCGGAACAAGTCAAGGGTAATTCCCCTATCTCTCCCTCGCCGCTTAATCTTCTCCTTCCAGAATTTACACATTCCTCAACCTCACTCTTTAACTGCCCGTTCTTCCTAATTTTAGTTCCAAACCTCATCGTCATAACCTTACAGGTAAGAGTTCCAAGTCTCCAAAGGTCTTTAGCGCCTTGTCTTGGAACTGGTCTCTTAAATCGCCGCAATCTGGTAAACATGCTCATGGTCAAGAGGGAAGGTCACCACAATGTAGTGAAGATGCGAGTGGTCAAGAGGCAAGGGATGCCAGCAGGTACACCAACCATTGTGCAACGCTCGACAAACTTCATGCCGAGGAACAAGCGCTTTACAAGCAAGTTAAGGTAGATATTACTTCTCTTTCAATATTGCTTGTTTCTACCTTTCCAATCTCCAATGGACAGGCAAAATTATGCAGTTCCGTCTTTTTAATCAAACTTCAGCTCCTCCATGTACATGATTGGGTAATAAAGTTTACAACTGTGATGTTGCTCAACCATGGCAGTTAAATTCTCAAGATGAAACAACACTTATCATGCAAGTGTTGAAAAAAAATCAGGTTTTGGGTCAACAGTGTCATCAGTCGACTTATGACAAGCATAAGTCGACTGATGAAATGCCCTAGAACTGCGATTTCTTTTCTGCTCAGTCGACTAATGAGCTCGTTCAGTTGACTGATGATCTGATCAGTTGACCGATGAAGGTTTGTGCAGTTTTTTGTGCACGTTATCAGTCGACCGAGGCTTCATATCAGTCGACTGATGACGTGTTCCTGGACTGTTTTTGTTTCCTGTTTGGTTTTGGATTGGGTGTTTGTATGAATACTAACACGTCTTTTTGGGTTTCTTAAAGTGAGTATTAGCAACCTTTCGAGCATTTTTGAGTGGGAGAATTTGTGAGGAACTTGAGATTTTTTTTTTGATTTAGGGTTATATTTGTGAGATTATTAAGTGATTGTAATCTCTATTTGCATTCTCTCTTTATTAGTGAAATCTATCCCCTCCTTACCCCGTGGATGTAGGCACATTGCCAAACCACGTAAATTCGGTGTCTTGCTTGTGTGGTGCTTGTTTTGGTTGTTGATTTGTGCTCCTATCTCGTTTGTGTTCGTGTTTGTCGATTCCGCTACGCACAACAAGTGGTATCAGAGCTTCGGGTTTGGCTTGATGTTCGAATTGGAGGATTTAGTTCAGATTCTCGTTTGAAGAGATTGGATCGTCACAATGACCGAAGCAAGTACATCCGGATCATCCCTAACTAAGGCGATACAAGGAAGAATTGGTATGTAAACTGAAAAAATCTCTTTATGGATTGAAGCAATCACCGCGATAATGGTACAAGAGATTTGACAGTTTCATGATTGATCAAGGGTACACGAGGAGTCCATATGACCCGTGTGTATACATGCACAAGCTACAAAATGATGAGCATATTTATTTATTGTTATATGTTTGACGATATGCTCATTGCTTTTAGGAATTCTTCAGCTATTAGAAAGTTAAAAAAAGAGTTATCATCCGAATTTGAGATGAATGACCTTAGAGAAGCAAAGAAGATATTAGATATGGAGATTGAGAGAGACAGGGTGAAGAGGAGGTTAAAGTTGACACAAAGAAGCTACTTGTAAAAAATGCTGAAGAAATTCAGTTTTGATGACAATGCCAAGGCGGCCAGTACTCCATTAGCTCCCCATTTTAAGCTATGTTTCAGTTGAGGACAGTGAATACATGTCTAAAGTTTCTTATGCTAATGTTGTGGATAGCTTGATGTATACAATGGTGTGTACAAGGTCAGATTTGTCACATGCCGTGAGCATGGTGTCTAGGTACACGTACGACCTCGGGAAGGGTCATTGGGAGACCGTGAAGTGGATCTTACAGTATATCAAAGGTACCGTGGATGTTGGTTTGGTGTTTGAGAAGAATGGAAGACATGGGCATGATTGTGTTAGATATGTGGATTCGGATTATGTTGGGGATCTTAACAAGCGTCGGTCTACTACTGGATATATGTTTACACTAGCAGGAGCACCGGTATGTTGGAGATGTATACTTCAGTTTACAATGGCTCTTTTCACTACGGAGGCAGAGTATATGGCGTTGACTGAAGTTGTGAAGGAAGCTTTGTGGTTGTAAGGGTTATTAGATGACTTGGGGACTGCACAAGATACCATCAGGGTAAAATATGATAGCATGTCAGCTATCTATTTGGCAAAGAACTAGGTGTATCATGCCCGAACAAAACACATTTATGTCGGGTTTCATTTTGTTCAAGATATCTTGGATAATGAAGACATTAAACTAGAGAAGATTCACACAAAGGACAATTCGATAGATATATTGACCAAAATTATCACTGGGGTAAAATTTTGTCATTGTTTGAAGTTGTTGAATATTCTTTATTGTTGATGGCTGTTGGAGGCCATTTGGGTGAACTACGTGAGGCTTGATTCCTTGAGCAAGATGATACGTAGGCAGTCAGTTTGATGCAGCTAATTTGATGAGTTGATACCGACATGGTGGAGATTGTTAGAGTTTTCATTTGGGTGCCCGACTTGTTGTGGATTGAGTCCGTTATTATAGATTGAGTCCACTTCGTACTGGACGCAACAAGTGGGATTGTTGGTATCGAGGTCGACTCAGTTTTTTGGGAAAACTTCGCCGAGATAAAAAATTGTTGAAAAAATCAGGTTTTCGGTGAACAGTATCATCAGTCGACTTATGACAGGCATAAGTTGACTGATGAAATGTCTTAGAATTGTGATTTCTTTTCTGCTCAGTCGAATGATAGTCGATCAGTTGACCTATGAGCTCGTTCAGTCGACTGATGATCTGATCAGTTGACTGATGAAGGTTTGTGTAGTTTTTTGTGCACGTTTTCAGTCGACCGATGCTTCATATCAGTCCACTGATGACGGGTTCCTGGGCTGTTTTTTGTTTCCTATTTGATTTTGGATTGGGTGTTTGTATAATACAAACACGTTTTTAGGGTTTCTTAAGGTGAGTATTAGCAGTCTTTTGAGCATTTTTGAGTGGGAGAATTTGTGAGGGACTTGAGAGTTTTTTTTATTTAGGGTTATATTTGTGAGATTATTGAGTGATAGTAATCTCTATTTGCACACTCTCTTTTTATTAGTGAAATCTATCACCTCCTTGCCCTGTGGACGTAGGCACATTGCAGAACCACGTAAATTCGGTGTCTTGCTTGTGTGGTGTTTGTTTTGGTTATTGATTTGTGCTCCTATCTCGTTTGTGTTCGTGTTCGTCGATTCTGCTGCGCACAATAGCAAGAATAATTGACTTGCATCTGCAGAGTCTGAACAGATGAAGACGAAGACTACAGAATAGATATGACATTTATAGATCCATCACAGATATGCATACAGAATGAATATGACATTTACTAAATCCATCACAAATATGTATACAAATATGAATATCCTCCAGTAAGAAAAAGGCATAATTCTTTTAGGTATGGACAGATATAATGTAAGAACTGGTGTGTGTGCGTGCGCGCTCGCGTGTGTGCGTGTGTGAGGGTGAGGGTGCGTGTGAGTGTGTGAGTGTGTGTGTGCGTGCGCGCGCGCGAGTGTAACTAAGTTCAGCAAAATCTGTCATCAAATTGTAGCACACTCAGAAAGTCAAGAATTGCACTGTTGGATGAAAAGAAAGTTGGTTTATTTCCACTTGTCTAAGACCAAAATAATTTCAACCATTCGATCCACACAAATTTCTAGATACCCACGTGTCCAACTTTCTCATATCCATGTCCAGCCACACGTAGACATGTACCCTCATTCATTTCTACCCTTGTCATACCAATTTAGATATGCTATACCATGCAAGCCGTCATGAATTTCATTTCTAATTTTTGTTGCCGTCACTTTACAGAATTACCATCTTACATGATCCTACTCATGCATGGGCTTTGCATAGTGGAATCTTCTGCTCGAGTACTGCAAGAAGGAATATAGTTGTAGTTAATTACTAGCTAGTACTTGTTTCGGATTTACCATTCTAACCGACAAGTCTTCTAGGAAGAGGAGCTGCTTAAAGTTCTGCACAGGAAGAAGGCCCTGCTAATGCAAAAACTTGAAGCTAGAGAAAATGACTGCACGAAGATTGAGGAAATGAGAGGAGACGTTGAGAATTTGCATTCTCAACTTCTTTCTCTGCAGGAATCAATTAGTGAAACATGCTTGTCAATATCAAAACTCAGGGATGAAGAGCTGTACCCTCAACTGGCCAAACTAACCTCCGGGTAAGTTACTAGTTCATTTTTACCTAACCTTTTGCTTTCTGTTTACGTTTTTTCAAGAGCATCAACTTAATTTTGATAGCAATTTTATCAGTAGTCTAACAAGTTCTTATAATTTTTCACTTTGGTTGGTAATTGTTTATTTGCTGTCCAGTGTTCATCTTTTTAAATTCCTACTTTCTAATGAAGTTACATACGTTTAACTTCATTGTTGGATATACTGTGCACAGGAGATGTTATCATCCCCTACAATTGTGCTCAAATGTAGGTAAAGCAGCTGCTTTATTAATCACGTAGAAGGTTTTAATCTAAATAAAGAACGACTTGATCTTATTGATCTTTTGTATATATTTTATTTCTTTCTTTCTTTGTGTTCCTTTTCAAGGCTCATGCAGATGTGGAGAACGATGCGTGAATGCCATCAGGTTCAAAACCACATTGCGCAGCAAGCAAATCTTCTTGATCGTCATCATAGCCTTGATCCTACTACTGAGTCCCACCGCTTTGCTACTGCCCAGCTAGAAAGTGAGGTCTCCAATTGGTGCCATGCTTTCTGCAACCTTCTCAAGTCTCAGCGTGACTATGTTCAAATTCTCAATCAATGGGTCGGACTCACTGACTGCCTCCCCGATACTAGCGAGGTGATCGGTTCTGGATATGGACTACATCATCTCTCTGAGGAGTGGCTACTCTCTCTTGACAGACTGCCTGACAAGGTGCTAATTCTATATCCTATATGCATAACCACTTTCATTTTGGGTTAATTTTAGAACCCCCCTCAACTATGGGCCTTGTCTCATAAAAAACCCCTTAGCTATTTTATTTTTAGAAAACCCCATCAAATTTCAAGGTGTTGTAGATAACTTCCTCAACTTTTAAAACATGACTAAACCCCCTTAACTATGGGGTGTATCATAAAACCTTCTTTATCTTTCTAGCTTTTCCAACTTTCCTGTTCATGCTACAGTAAATACTATAGTTTATACTGTATTATAAACAGTAAATCAAATCTACTTCTCCATACTTTAAGTTGCTATTCATGCTACACTATTTACTGTATGATAAATAATAAAGCAAATAAAATGTATTTAAACTTGGATCTTTTTTTAAGTATAAAGGAGTAGATGTGATTTCTAAATTAAATGTATTAAAACTTGGATCATTCTTTAAGTATAGATGAATATATATGATTTCTAATTTTAAGCAAATAATAATTAAAATGTATTAAAACTTAGAAGGATGCAAGTTCAAAATGCAATGCTTAAAAAATTAGGTGGTCGTGCTTTGCACGGGGTGCAAACTAGTATTAATTTGAAATATGCAATGACTAAAATACCCTTAGTTGACAAAATTTACGTGAGTTTAAAAACCTAACTCAATCAAAAATATTAGACTTTGGTTCGATGTGTTTTAATGACGAAACTATTCTTCCAAAAAATTTAAAAGTTTCAATTGTTTCAAGCATGGATAAGCAGAAAATAAAAGAAGTTTAGTATTTTAAAAGAGAGAAAAAAATTAGACTTGTACGTAAACCTAGCAATGAAGATGGAGGAATAAGAAGAGCGGGGAAATGAAATGAAAGTCATTTTTAACCCAAAAAAGTTAAAAAGGAATAATATGGTAAAAAAAATTGATGTCTTAGGGATAGTATGATCATTTAAAATCATTTGTCCCTTTAGATTTAAATTATATTAGTTTTGTTTGACCCAAAAATAAGGCTAAACGGCTATATTCAAAAGATATGGACTATATATATATATATATATATATATTATTATATATATATATATATATATATATATATAGAGAGAGAGAGAGAGAGAGATTAATGGGTATCCTTGTCATAGGAGGGGATTTCCTCCTTGACGCGTCTAAAATCACATGATTGAGCGACATTATGGATGATCCGCTCCGCTTGAACTTGATCTACATATTCTAAACCCCAACATACCAGTTTGGGGTGAATCCGTCGTCGTTTGACCCTCCATCGAGCATGTGAAAAGTTCTATTCATTCTAAACCGTTAAAATTGATACGAGTGGATGAAGGGTCAAACGACGACGGGTTCACCCCAAACTTGGTTTGTTGGTTTTAGAATATGTAGATCAAGTTTAACGGAGGCGGATCATCCATAATGTCGCTCATCAATGTGATTTTAGAGGCCGTCATAGGAGGAAATCCCTCTATGACAAGGATACCCATTAATCTCATATATATAATATATAATATATTATATATATATATATATATTATATATATATATGTGAGAAAGTTTGTGTACAAAGCTATGAGTTAGGAGGAGTGCTCACTCACGCTTAGATCAAAGAGCGGTCTTTTGACGTCATTTGAAACTAAGGACGAGAGTGAGACGATCGTCCTAACTCAAACTGCTAAACAAAATTAGATACATAAAATTAGGAATAGGCCTGGTCGGCACTGACTCCTCCTAGTAGCATGAAACTCTTCATCCAGCGAAGCAAGTTTCAAAAGAAATGAATATTTACAATCAGAAGAAGCCTATTAGGCTAAGCACACATTAGAAATTGTCTCCCACCATGTCCGTGATGGATCCATGAAGATCCTGCAGTCCTAGGTTGCTTGCTATCGCAAGAATATGTAGAAAATGGCGCCGAATTATTCAAAGTATTGGGAAAATAATAAAATTCAGCAGACCACAGGTGTGGTGCGTGCCACATCCAAATGAGGTAGAATCTGCCCTGTTGTTAGGGGTGTGGTGCGTGCCACACCCGGGTATGGCAGAATCTGTCCTGTTATCAGGGTGTGGTGCGTGTCACACTCGGGTGTGGCAGACGCGTTTTCAGATTCCCACACTGTTTTGGATTGTTTTGTTATAAATAGAAACACACATTTTTAGGGTTTCTTAACCAGAAATTAGCATTGTTTTGAGCATTTTGAAAGGGAGATATTGTGATGGAGTTGAGATATTTGATTAGATTTATTTTTGTGAGTTTGTGTGAGTTGTAACATGTTGTATTTCTCCTCCATGTAGTGAAATCTCTCCATCCTCACCTCGTGGATGTAAACAATTGCCGAACCCCGTAAATTTCTGTGTTTGTGTGACTTTGGCTGTTCTTTTGGGAATTGCACTCGTGTTTGGTTTTGTTTGATTCTTCTCTCATCGCTCTTTGACTCATTTGGTTCGCGAGCACGCTTCCGCACGGCGTGTAATAAGTGGTATCAGATCTCAGATTTTCAGATCTAGGGTTTTGCATTGGGTGGAGGAAGATTCATTATTGAAAGCTTGAGTCTTAGAGATCTAAGCTTCGGTGGAGATAGTATTGCGGAGTTGTCATTGGAGATCTCGCTTTTCTCGTGTGGCTAGGAGATCGTGTTGGAACCCCATCTAGGGTTTAATTAGGTAATTTCTCAATTCTATCAAGTTTGATCTTTTTTTTTACAATTTGGAGCTTGCAAGCAATGAGAGAAGAAGTTGGTGAAAGCAACAAGGCGATGACGAGTACAGTTCATGTTGTACTTTAAAATACGAAGATCGGTGTTGTGAAGTATGACAGTAAAATCAATTTTGGTTTGTGAATGAGTGATGTGCAAGATGCATTGAATGCTTAAAATTTGGAAGAGACCATCATGGTCCATGAGAGGCCACCAAAGTATGATGAGACGATATGAGACAAGATGAGGTAATTAGATCTTGTTTGGAACAAGAGTTGAAGTACGATGTGATTGGTGTGACGTCTACGATGAAGATGTGGGACATTCTCAATAATAAGTATCTTACGAAGAGTATTAAGAATCGTTTGCACTTGCTGCGAAGATTGTTTAGATTCTAGATGTCCAGGGGTATCTCACTTGTGGATCATGTGAACAACTACACAAAGTTGTTGTCCGAGTTGACGAACGTTGATGAGAAGATAACGGATGAGTACAAGACGATTATTTTGTTAGGTTCTTTACCCGATGAGGAGTATGATATATTCGTGCTCACTTTGTTGAACGGTAGATCTTCTATCACATATAGTGAAGTGACTAATGCATTGACAAATTTCGATTTGAGAAGGATAAAGAGTCTTCCCGGGCTAGCACTTCAGGGGAGGCCTTGTCGACGAGAGGAAGGAGTCCCTATCCGAGAGATGATAATCGAAGTAGGTTAAAGCTAAGGGTCACTACCAATTAGAGAAGAACCAATGTGTGTTCTGCAAAGAACAAAGACATTGGAAGAGAGATTGCACGAAGCTCAAAGAGAAGGAGAATAGTAAGAAGAAGGGTCCGAAGGCCAATGAGGTAAACGTCGCTAGAGCTGATGATTCAGATGATTCATGTTTTTCTTTACTGATTACTCCAGAGGCGAACCATGCGGATGCATCGGTTTGGATGTTGGATTCTGACGCTACTTATCATGTGACTCTCCGGCGAGATTGGTTTGTATCTTTCGAGAAGCTCGATGGGGGTGTGGTAGTCAAGAGAAATGATTAATCCTGTGGTATTTGTGGGATAAGTACAATCAGGATTCAGATGCACGATGGAGTTGTTCGAGAGTTGAATGAAGTGAGATTTGTTTCTCAGTTGAAGAAGAATTTTATTTTCGTTGGAGCTTTGGAGGTAAAGAGATTCAATGTGACTTTTTAGAACGCTATAACAAAAGTTACTAAGGGATCTTTGGGAGTGATGAAGGAAGTCCGTAGTAGGAATCTTTATTATCTGAAGGGGAGCACTGAGATTGGCCAGGTAGCTTCAGCTGTTTCAGAGGCGGACGCGAGCAGATTTTAGCACTACAGATTGAGGCACAAGGTGAAAAGTCACTGCAGGCGCTGTGCAAGCAGGGGCTATTGAAGGGAGCTAAGAGTGAGAAGATTGAATTATGTGAGCACCGTGTTCTTGATAAGAAGACAAAGGTAAAGTTTAGGACAGTCGTACATAGGACAACGTGCATCTTGGACTACGTGCACACAGATGTTTGGGGTCTCACTAAGACGATATCACTTGGTGGTCGACATTAGTTCGACACGTTTGTGGATGACTATTCTAGGCATTGTTGGGAGACACCATGAAGCATAAGAATGAAGTCCTAGAGTTATTTATGGAGTGGAAGAGGAGATTAGAACTGTAGACTAGGAGAAAGATCAAGACGTTGAGACTCAATAACGGCGATAAGTACACTTCAGACCCCTTTCAGCAGCTATGTTGAGACAAGGGATAGAAAAACACTTCACAGTTAGTCATACGCCGCAGCAGAATGGGGTGGTAGAGAGATTGAATTGATCTTTACTGAAGAAGGTTCGATGTTTGTTATCGCAGAGTGGTTTGGAGAAGATCTTTTGGACTGAGGGACTTTCATATGCGAGTCATCTCATTTATAGGCTGCCTACATCTGCAATTGAGAGGAAAACCCCTATAGAGATGTGGTCGAGAGAGCCATCACACAATTATGATTAGCTCAAGGTATTTAGGTGTCATGCATTTTATCTTGTGAAGACTAATAAATTAGAACCTCAAGCTAGAAATGTCATATTTATGGGATTCAAGCATGGTGTTAAAAGATACTAGCTTTGGGATTCAGTTGATAAGAAGATTGTGCTGAGTAAAGACGTCACTTTCGATGAGACTTTTATCTTGAAGCTTCCTTGCTCTCATCAGGTGGAGAGAACCCCAACAGAGGAGATATCGCAGGTGGTGGAGATTAATGTAACTCCACAGAGTCCAGATGAGACCCTATCCGTTAGAGTGCCGACTAAGGTGAC